ACGTCGCATATTACATCATACGGCAACATGAAATACTAGGTTGCATCTCTCAGGTATTGTACTCTAAATATGCATTTCAACTTTAATATGATTTACGTATACCGCGTATGTGTATTACAAATAAGTACTCACGTGGGAGAAGTAAATAAAATTCCTGGAAGGATAATGTAACTAAAATATTGTGCTCAACATAATTCTTTTCGCGACAATATTATTCGCGTAAAGAGACGGTCAGGTTTTTTGCATGATTTTAATTGTTCCTCATGTTACGCTTCATCCAGCGAAGCAAATCGTTATGTTAATTAAGGTTAGTGAAATTTCAGCGACAGCATGCTAGTATGAAGGTAACATGTTCTCGCCTAGAATTACGCGCCGGTAGCATATGTGCGAAAAAAAGCATATCATTTCGGAGATATATATATGGTGAAACGAGTCGACAACAAAGTAATATGTATGTCATAATACATGCCAACATTTTTTTTTCACTTTTTGAATCAACAATTTAATAACACAAAAGACTTTTGTTGCGATGTGAAATTAATTAACGAAAATGCTATTATATTTCAGCGCATTCTCTATGCCTTTTACAAGCGTTATTGTTATTTATAATAAGCAATCTCACATGACATTTCGTAATATATAATTTATAAATAATCCCGGAAATAATTTTCAATTGTTTTATTCTTCCTATAGACTTCACGTTTTCATTACTCGTATACATAATTGCTCCTTCTTACTCTTAATGAAACTTAATAAAAGACATATTGCGTTTATGTTGGCATCTGAACAATGTGCCGGTTAATTTTACAAAAAGAAAAGCATAAATTTTTGTTTGAATGTAATTTGCATAAAGTTTATTTTGTACTAAATAAAAAAACTATGCGCAAACGAAAGCCGCAATTCAATTATCTGAATTCTTATCGCATCGCGAGAGACTCCAACTACGGATCCATCGCCGTAAAATACGTGACTGTCACAAGGTCGGAACTTTTTTAAATTGCGTTGCAAATTCGCCATACGCTTATTCACGCAAACTGCTATTTTTCAACGACCACATTAGATTATACGGCGGTTAATCGCGTTGCTGAGTTTGAGGAAACGCCCATTTACACCATAGGCAAATGTAGAGATTGAGCGAGGACCAGGAGCAGCTGCAGCCGCGCAAAACTTTGTCCCAACCTTATTACGACTCCTCTTAACGAATTTAGCCGTCAAGCCGTAACTTGACGTTTGAGTTTCGCCGCCGACAGGGAGTGAGAATCAAGCTGACATGGCGAGCAGCATCCGAAAATGATGCTGAATATCTCAGAATAAATCTTGATTTATGTGATTTCATATTGCTTTTATTTGCGTTATACTTTTACCAAAATGCCGATTTTCGACGAACGATTGATACAAGCAAGCAATATTGCTGCTTTGTATTTCTCCTTTTGCTAACTGTAGAATTTTTCATTTCTATTGTATAATAATTATCCATAAGTATCAATACAATTTTGCAAAAAATGCTAAGTTAAAAATTATACAGTTAACAAAAAAAAAACACAAAATAACAATATTGCTTGCTTGTATCAATCGCTCGTCGACCATCAGTATTTTTGTAAAACTAAGAATAATGCGAATATAAAATGCGATATAAAATCGACATAATCGACAATCAAAATTATTATCAGTATTACTTTAATACATTTATTTTTAATGTTAAAAATATAAAAAAATGCGTCTTGCATTAATTGTTAAAGTTTTATTTTTGCAAACAAAGATAAATCATTTCGTGAAATTCTTCGATTATGCAGCAAACATACAGATATGGAAATATGTACATTTAACATTGATAAAACGTATCGGCATTTTTCCAACCACATAGAATTTTTGAATGTCTTTCAATAATAACTATTTTCGGTCACGCCTTGAAACATTTCACTATACAAATTTTTCACGCATTCCATACGCTCCACCTCCTCCCACCAAAAACGCCGATTCAGCAAAATCCATTCGCGCTTTCGAATCCTTCCCATTCACGCTCGCGCGTCGCGGCATCGCAAGCTTTACCACATCCCGTCAGCCAGCCGTTTCAATTATTTTGACGCGTCTCGCCGATTTTGTTGTTAAACGGATGTGTCTGCCGTGAAAGCTCGATAACCCGACATTACGACATGCTGGCAGCGCGTATGAATCGCCTTCGGGGCGCTTTATCGAGCCGATATCGACGAGCGCGCTACGATAAATCTCGCCTCCGTTTCGGGAGAAGAACGGATCAAACCGAAAGCAATTACCCACCGTCTCTCGTATCCGGTAAATCGCCGTATACATGTGGCGCGCGTTGGCCGCGCGAAGAGAGAGATAACCAGGACCTTTTAACGGTCTGGTCTCAAGTAATAAACTTAATCGCGGCCGCATTGTGCGGAGGGCAATTTCGACTGCGATACAGCAACGCGAGGGGCCAGACGAAAGGATCGGAGAAGTCTCGTCGTGACCAAAGACTTCCTCAATACACAACCCATCTTGGTGCAGCTCGTAAAACCAGCTTTGTGCTGTCAGGTATGGATCGTGTCGGGGAATCACGACAACTCGGTGAATATGCTGGATAAATATTATCGAGTCAGAGAAAGGGAGTAGCTGCGCATTTGATACTGTCATGGCTAAACGAGAGTGGATCGTCGGATTCACTTGTCACGATCTTACGAGTGATTTGTAAGAAACAAGAAAATAAACAATACTGTCCACGAAAATTCTACATCTCTCGCAGGTGCGATAAGTTATTTGCTAAGTTACTAATAACATATGACTAATAACATGACTGAATGCATCAAACAAAAATAGAGAAAATTCCTAAATATAACTTATATAAAGCATGATTTGTTCAGAAATTATGTAAAAAATATTTTTTTATTCACAAATATAATAAAGAAATTAAGTAACTCATCGTCGTATCTCAATTAACAATAAATACGCTGTTAACAATACTGTTCATTGTATTTAGAGAAATTAGTATGTATTTTAATTTTTATTAGATAGATAGATAGATAGATAGATATATTTATTTGTTCCCCTCAGGGTTACAATCTCCCTCTCCTTCTCCTCTTCCATACACATCCAACTTACTTCTAACTTATTCTAACTTACTCTAACTTATTCTATTTATACTCTATCCTTAACCCTAAATCTACATCATGAGTATTCACGAGCGTCTCGTGCCTACCCCTTGTACACACACACACACGCTTTGTGGACTTCCGTTTCCTATTGCATCTTTTAAATCATTATATACTCTCTCCCCGCCTTCCCCTCGCTCCCCCCTCTCTCTCTCTCCCTCCTCT